GGGGGGGGGGAGGGGAGCATTAAAGTCCTTAATTCTGCAGACCATTGCAAGGGACAGCTGCTGCGATTGTGGGGGCGTTAATAGGGCACAGACAGAATCGGTAAGGGGTGGTCTGCCTGGCAGGCGCGCTAAGGGACACAAGCAAATGACTGCGCCCTAAGTGCAACATACCAGCATTAGCAGGGAGGTACAAGAGAATTTGAGTATCCTGAGGCCAGATTAATAAAGCTCGTTAGGGGCCTAAAGACGCCCTAGGACAGAGCGGGGTTAAACTGTGGCTTGTTCTATTAGTAATGCCTGTGTTGTTGTTTTGGACATATAAAGCCCATAGATATGCTAAGTGTTGTTGGATGAATCTGGACAAGACTTGGGGGGGAGGGTTCCCCCCTCTTGGCTGTGTAAAAAGCAGGATCCTGCTACGAGGAAGTGGGACACCCAGCAGAATAACCTGCCCGGATTCCTGCAGACGCGCTGTAACCGACGCAGCGGCTAGAGCTATGCTGTGTCAAATTGCGTGAGAGTAGACGCTCTCGTGCCTAGTGATTCGATGTTCCCACCTCCAGCGCTCCAGGACCATGTTTCTCGCTGCATTATAATCTGTTCCCACAGCAGCAGTGTTCTTTGTTCATTGTTCTTTTATGTCATTTTTGTCCTTTTTTCTGTCTTGTGCCAAGTGGGATCCAGTCACAGATTTGTCTAGGGATACTAGGTTTTTAATACCCTACTGCAGGGGTCTTCAACCTTTTTCAGCACGGGCTCACTTTTCAAATTGAAGTGCAATCCACGGTCGACCTCAAACCCAAATACTCTTGTCCCGCCTCCTTTGCGCCCCTTCTTCAAGGCCCCGTCCCTGCTCACTTCATCCTCCCTCCCTTTCACCAGGCTGGGGCAGAGGGCTGGGGTGTGTCTTAAGGGATTTGGCATGTAAGAGGGGCTCTAAGCTGAGCTAGGGGCAGGCAGTTGGGGTGCCGGAAGGGGTTCTAGGTTCAGGCTCTGGGTGTTTGGATGCAGGGCTGCTTGGGTCTAGGGCAGGACCTGGGGTTCAGCATGGGGTAGGGTTTTGGGATGTGGGCACCAGCTGGGCCCTGCTGACCTCAGGTGGCTCCTGGGTGGTGGTGCAGTGGAGCTAAGGCATGCTCACCCCGTCCTGGCCCAGCACCACTCCCAAAAATAGCTAGCAAACTCCATGACCAGTCCTGCTGTGCCCCCTCTCCGCTCTGTGGAGATAGGATACAGGGTGGGAGAGGGGGCACCTTGACATCAGCACCCTCCTGTCCCTCCCCTGCCCTGCTCAACAAGCAGGAGGTTTCTGGGGGTCAGCTCCAAGACAAAGGGCAGGAGATGCACAGCAGTCAGGGGCGGGGGGGAGCAGCTGAAGTGCTGGGCTGGATAACCTCTTGGCCAAACCAGTCAGGATCACCTGTCAGAGGCTCCAAGATCTACCAGTCGATCCCAATCGACTGGTTGGTGACCCCTGCCTGCTGTCTGCCCAAGCCACTTCAGCCTTCTTTCTGAAGTCATTGGGAATGCTGGCAGATAAGGGATGGGCCAAGGGTATTGTTAAGCCTTTCAAAGGAAGTATAAACTCAGGCACTGTGGATGGGATACAGAAGAGTCTAGTCCGCCTGTTCTGATGTGGACGGTCCGCCTGTTCCCTGTTGTTGTGTCGTCAATCCTCCAAGAGACACAAGCAGGATTCTCCAGCCCAGATTGGACATTTGCAAAATAAGCTCGCTGGCAGCGGACAGTTTTCTGCATTTCACGCAATGGTGACATTGTGGGAGAGTCCCTTCCCCTGCTACGCCCACTGCTTGAATGAACTGTGCTGTTTCTCCATGGAACTGAGTGTCATGTCGACAGGAGCAACCAAACCCGGGAGCTCGGGAGCTTAGTGCATGAGCCTCTCTGACCGGAGTTAAAAACCAGCTGGCTCTCAGCTAGGGCTGTAGAGAGCAAACTCATTCTCTCTCTCTGGAAGTGGTCTCAGTGCCACTACCTGGGATAGTCAACCACCACACCCAGCCGGTGTGCAGGTTACATGAGCAGCTGGGACTGTCCCAGGGGGAGACAGGAATGGCTGGGAACTCTGGGCAGGGTGGGATCTTGGGATAATGTGGACTAGGCAGTTACTGGAGAAACATCAGGTTGCCTGGAGCCCAGTGAACTCTGTCAGGATCCCCACTTGAAGCACAGACATGTTGACAATATAGATCCCCATCCGGTGGAACCATCTCATTAGGATTGCTGGTTGTTTCCCACCGGAGTTGTCCCATGATGTTTCTGACAGCTGCATTTACCACACTCATTCAGAATTCCCCTAGGACCACGAATCCCAAAGCATCCCTAGGTTTGTATGCACCCGGATTATCCCTGCATACGCCTCCAGAAGGTTGTATTTTGTTTTCAGCCTGAATGGGAAGAGTCCATTTCTTCACTCCTCTTTCAGCATTGCAGTGTCCCCCGGCTATGTCTAGCCTGCCGCTTTTTTTTGGAAAAAGGTACGCAAATTGCACTTTGCAATTTGCATATCTTTTTCCAATTTTTTTTTCGGAAGAGGCTTTTCCGAAATGTCTACAATGGGCCAAATTTCGGAAAAGCCTCCTCTTTCAGAAGAGCCCTTCTTCCTCGTGAAATGAGGAAGACAGGACTTCCAAAAGAGCAAGTCTGCTCTTCCACATAAAATGTCAAAGGAGCAGACGCGTTCCCTGGACGCGGCAGAGTTTTTCCAGGAGGTATCCCGGAAAAACTTGGGAGTCTAGACATAGCCTCTGCTAGATCATGAGGTATGCTTCCTGGGGGCCAGATATTTTTAATAATTTAGGGCCCAGTTCCCAAACATAGCCAAATTCCACATCAGATGCCCCACTTGCATGCAGTGGTCAGTGGTTTACATACCCAAGCGTGGGATATGGAATCCCTTTTAAGGCACCTATGTTTGAAGATTGATCGCTCCAAAGGAGTGAAGCTTCTAACCTCTGTTGAGTTCAGTGGCTGTTAGGAAACTAAGCAGAAGTTAGGAGTCTAACGCCTTTTGCACATTTAGCCCAGAGTGTTTGACACCTTGCCTGCTGGGACACATTTGCCAAGTGTCCCCACTAGTTTCAAGGGGTTCCTAACAAGGACACATAGTGCCACTGGGCAGTGAGGGTTGGAATGTGAGTTACGCCATGGGAGGGACACGGATGTTAAGTTATTCCTGATACTAGAGGCATCTGGAACTTACTGGCTGTTAGCATGACATGGACTGGACAGCTGTGATGGGGAGGGGAGAGAGACTGGGCATGAAGGATGCTGCATTTGACCCTGGTTAGTGAATGCCTCAGGAACTGCTGAGCCAGAAAGGGCTTGGCTGATTGTGATGGCCGGGATGGTAGTGGGTAGGGCTGTTGACATGTAGTCGACTATATGGTTAACCGATAAGCCTAGGCTTATTGGTTAATCTTGTCAACTACATGCATTTCCCCCTGCCCTTGCTGCCTCTGAATCAGAGGCAGCACGCGGAGGAGGAGAGGAGCACTGTCTCTGTGGTGCCGCCTGCCCCTCCACTCACTCCCCCCCCACTGTAGCCTCTATCAGAGGCAGCAGTGTGGGGGGGAGGATGGGGGAGGGAGGAAGGCAGGCAGAGGAGACTGCCACAAAGCAGCCTCTCTCTGCAGAGTCTGCTCCACCACCCATGGAGCAGCCTCTGTCCTCGGCAAGACTCGGACATCCCCACAGACAGGGGCTGCTGCCAGACAGCTTCTGTCCACAGCCAGCCCGGACCCCTGCAGACAGGGGTTGCTGCCCCCCTGTGCTGCTCCATTTCAGAGGCAGCAGTGTGGGTAACAGGCAGACAATTTGCGCAGAGAGCTGATTTTTAAACTGGATCCCCTTGTGGACCAGTTCCCGACTGCCACCTCGCACTGCTGCCTCTAATAGAGAGGCAGCAGCACGGAGGGGCAGGAGGCTCCCTGAGAAGGGGGCCAGATTGCACTGGCTGCCAGCCCCGCACCCGTGGACTATAATATAGTTGAGTAACCGATAAGATTAATGCGGTTACTTGACTGCTCAATTACCCGAGATCTAACATCCCTAGTAGAGGGGGATGGGCCTCATCCTGCAACTGGAGGTCACTGTTACACAACTATTGTGTGGCGAAGCCAATGGCCAGCAATTACCGTCAGCAATGAGGAAGTTGGTGGGTGACACTCTCTAGCTTCGTGTGAAATTGCATTCTGGTCAGCGAGAAAACAGATGCCTGAGCCAGAGCCCCGCTAGTGGCAGAGAAGGAGGAAGGGACTGATTTATTGTCCTAACATGTCTCTCCTGCAATTCCGCTCCCACTTGGGTTCTGGGCCTGATGCATGCTTTATCTGCCTTATCACACCTAGCTCAGGTATGGCTGTACGGGCTGCAATCACACCTCTCGATTGCAGTGCAGACATATCCTTAATGCTAACGGGCAATGCTAAGAGTTGACCGAGCAAACCACAGTCAGGGGCTATGCAGAGACAGCAAGGCACCCTGAGGGCTGGACAAGAAACCAATGCACAAGCAGATCTTCTCATACTCTCCTACAGAACCCTAGCATAGAAGGGAGCAGAAAACCAGATACATGGAAAATGTGGCTTTCAAAAGGATTGTGGGATTTTTCCGTCTCTACTTGGGGATTAAATGGGCTCTTCCTGTTGCTATAAGACCTCAACCAAAAAAAAAAGCAAGAAAAAGCTCAAGGGGAAGAAATGTTAAATGTTCCATAGGCCGTCCTTTCCGATTCCCCACACAAACAGGTCTATAGGATTCTGCTCCTTGAATTCCCTGTAGAATTGCCATGTCTACACTAGGAGCACTTTGCCAATGCAGGAAGAGTAGTTTTTTTTTAACTTGCATGTGTGTTCCTTTAAGATCTGGGGAAGGGGTTAGTGTCTGAGGAAAAGCAGAAGTGGAAGAATAGCCACCCCTTGAAAGGGGCTGCCTGCGTATTGGGGGCAGAAGCCAACCTCTGACAGCACAGATAGCCATTTGCAATGTGTTTCCTGTCCCCATCAGAAAACCTGTCATGAGGGTGTTATTGCAGTGTTTTCCCCATAAAGCACTGATTCATTTTTCACTTCCCCCCTTCTCCATAAATACAGGCAGTGACTAAAAGAACTCGCTGACGAGACAAAAAAGATAAAAAATAAAAAGTGTTTGTCTCTGAGAGTGAGGGCTAAGGGAGGTTCCAGGTTCCCCTTTACTCAAACTGTTGAAGTTAGTTCTATGATGTCTCTTAAAGGCAAATATAGCAACTAAAATTCTGTCTGACCCATTGCAAAATGGTAATCATTAGGCTGAGAGATCGTGTGGCCCAGTGCACAGGTACAGGACTGAGTTAAGAGGATTGAGTTCTGCTCTTGGCCCTGTAAATTACTCCCTGCTAGACCTTGGCAAAGTGAATTAACTGGTCTGTGCCTCAGTTTCCCCATCTGTAAAATGGGAAGAATAATATTTTCTCACGTTTATACAATTCTTTGAGCACTAAGAAAAATATTCGGACAGATCTGAGTTATCTGATCTCCATCACTACAGTATATTATTTCATAATGTTCAGAATCTACTACTCAGCAACCAAAAAATTAAGTTTCTCCCAAACAGGTTTTGATACACAATCAGTGTTTTGAGGTCTTCCAACTGGTAGTCTGCGCCAAACCATTTGACACATTTCTTTCCTGTTTTGTTCCAGAATTAGCATTAATTTACTCCATAAAGGGAAGTAAACAAAAGAAAACTGCTTTGACTGATGCTGGATTAATAATAGAGGAGAAAGATTATGTCCTGACACAATTTGCATAATGTGCTTACCACTCCACAGCCAAATAAATCCCAGTCAATAGGAAAAGAACATCTTCTAAGTAAAACAAAAAACTGCAGGAGCCTGGATTAATCAGTGTGAAAGAGCAAATTTTGTCACCTAACCGGGGAGAGCTTGGGAGAGGGCGGGAAGTGGGGTATGACCTGGGATGGAGTGAGGGCCTGAGGGGAGGGGGTAAAGCAGGGTGCAGGCCAGCCTGGGGATGGAGCAGGCAGTAGGACCACTGTCCAGGTGCTGTTGTGCCTCCACACTAATAGGACACTTACAGCATCATGCCCTGCCTCCCCAAATGCAGGAATCCCCTGTCACCCACACACCTACGGCTCTAAATGTTCTGCTATCAAACACTCTCCTAGCCTACAATCCATCCCCTCAGCAAATAAATGCAAATAAAAAGACCAGCCAATTATATCTGCCTAGAATCTCTGCTATGTGTATGGAATGAGCTAAAAGTCCAATTCTGGCCAGCCAAACTTCATGGCACCTCTGCCTCGTGCCCTTTCTCAGCTGTTCCATGCCAGGTGGAGTGAGATGCTACCGGCTTGGCCGTTGTTTGGTTTTTCACCCCTCCTATCTGTCTTGTTTGCAGGCTCGGCATCTCCGACAATCCAGCCGAATGTCACCTCCCTGCTTGTGAACAAAGACGACCCCGTCAGCTTGCACTGCTCTGGGGATGTCGGTGTGAAGTGGGTCAGCCCAACACAGAACAGAATTGTGCACTCCAACGGTACTACCAGCACTCTCCGGATCACCCACGCCACTTTCAGGGACGTGGGGACCTACGAGTGTTCTTATACCAACAGCAGTGACACGGCAACAGCCTCCATCCATCTCTTTGTGAAAGGTAGCTAAAGGCATTCCTTCACTCACTGTTACTCCTCTCGGGATAGGTTTGCTGGTTATATGTACCTATATAATTGTATCAGGATGGTTAACCCAAACCCATACCACTAGTATAAACTCTCCCTTCCCGCACATGCAGACACTCTTCTTCGCCCTTAGGGAGACTTAGAGCTCATGGATAGAGTGGTGGACCGGGGATCAGAAGGCTTGGGGGCAATATTCCTGGCCTCCCGCTAGTTTGCTGGATGAGCTGGGCAAGTCACATCACTCTAGCCCTCAGTTTTCCCATCTGTAAAATGGGGATAATCATTCCGCCTTCCTTTGTAATTTGCCTAGAGATCTATGGATGAAAAATGAGAAGAGCTGACTATGCCAGGAAAGAGCTACTCCAGAATTCCATGGCTTGCTTCAGTTTTGCTTAAACCCCTTCTGCAATGCCATAAGCTAAACTAGAAAAGAGCCTCTGATACCCGAACATATACTGGAGTGACCTCACTGGGTCCTGTACCAAAATAGCAGGCATATAAATTCATAACTTAGCATCTCCCACTATAACTTTCTCATGAAAACAAGCTCTAAGTTTCACTTGGGCTGTGTCTACATTAGCAAGATTTTACACAAAAACTTGCTACCTGTCTACACTGGCCGCAAGTTCTTGCGCAAGAACACTGACGTTCTAATGTAAGAAATCAGGGCTTCTTGCACAAGAACTATGACACTCTCACTCAGGGATAAGCCCTCTTGCGCAACTGTTCTTGCGCAAGAGGCCAGTGTAGACAGGCAACATCAATTTCTTGAGCAAGAAAGCCCGATGTTTAAAATGGCCATCGGAGCTTTTGCACAAAGGCACATGCCAGTGTAGACGCTATCTTACTCAAATACTCTAACGCAAAAACTCTTGCATTACAGAGTATTTGCGCTAAATCATGCCAGTGTAGACGTAGCCTTGCTGTTTCTAGTACACTCCTCAAGCGCTGTGTTTCTCAGCTTTTTTGATACCAGGAACCAGCTTGCTGTCTCCCTAAACTGAGTCAGGGAGATCTTAAGGACCGGCACTGGTCCATGGATCAGTTGTTGAGAAACACAGTCTCGTGCACACATTGGGGGAAGGGTGGGGGATTCACCTAGCTTTTAATGACTACACATTGCCAGGCATAGAATCATAGAATACTAGAACTGGAAGGGATCTTGAGAGATCATCAAGTCCAGTCCCCTGCCCTCATGGCAGGATCAAGCATTGTCTAGATCATCCTTGATAGATGTCTGTCTAACCTGCTCTTAAATATCTCCAATGATGGAGATTCCACAACCTCCCTAGGCAATTTATTCCAGTGTTTCACCACCCTGACAAATGTTTCCTAATGTCCAACTTAAACCTCCTTTGCTGCAGTTTAAGGCAATTGCTTCTTGTCCTGTCCTCAGAGGCCAAGGAGAACAATCGTCTCTCCCCCCGACACCTTTTTAGATTCTTGAAAACAGCAGTCATGTCCCCTTTCAGTCTTCTCTGTTCCAAATTAAACAAGGCCAATTCCTTCAGCCTTACCTCATAGCTCATGTTTTCCAGACCATCTCCATGTTTTGTTAATCTATAAACTACTACCAGAGCATTTTCTTGCTGTTTTTTTCTGTAACAGACTAACTCAGCTACCCCCTGAAGCTCTTAATCATTCTTGTTCCTCTTCTTTCTTGAAATGTGGTGCTCAGAACTGGACACAATACTCCAACTTAGGCCTAATCAGCGCAGAGTAGAGCAGAAGAATGACTTCTTGTGTCTTGCTCACAACACTCCTGTTAATGCAGTCCAGAATCATGTTTGCTTTTTTTGCAACAGTGCCACACTGTTGACTCCTATTTAGCTTATGGTTCACTACAGCCCCCTGGATCCCTTTCTGCTGTACTCCTTCCTAGACGGTCGCTTCCCATTCTGTATGTGAAATGGATTGTTCTTCCCTATGTGGAGCACTTTGCATTTGTTCTGTTTACCTCAGCCCATTTCTCCAGTTTGTCCAGATCATTTTGAATTATGACCCTGTCCTCCAGAGCAGTAAGGTTTGCTGTTTTAGGCCCTTCACTGGCAGTGGCACAGTGATGGCATCAAGGACAAAAATCCACAGTGCACTGCAAGCCACAAAACTCTGCTCCCACCACTCAGCGAAAGAATGCAGCATAGTGTCCCTGCGGGCAGGGGCGACCTGTGACTATAGGCTGACTCAGCCGTTGCCTAGGACACCGCCTTTACCAGGGTGCCCGGGGCGCCCGATGATGATGTCATGGGGTGCCCGATGATGATGTCACTCCATTGACGGCCATGCAAGCAGGGGCGCCGATCGCGCATTCCACCTGGGGCGCCAGCTGCTGCAGCCTCGGGCCGCTCCTGCCCGTAATACCGGGCCTATGAAATGATTGTCCTAATGGCTTGAAAAACATGGGCTTCCCCATGCTATTCATGGCAGCCTTGAAGACAGACTCCTCACTGGCCAACCAGATAATATCCTCACACTTTGCCTTTTTAGCAATAAAACCAGCAGCCCTGGTAAAAGGTAATTTTCACTGGGTGCCTCTCAAACTGCCCCCATGTTCATTCTCTCACCCCTGTACTCATGCTACTAGTCCAGTTTCTGCTCCTTAGGTGCCATAAGCTGCATCTCTACTGCTAAATACGATTTCAGGACCGAAGAGCCATAGGGTTATCAATGGGAGCAGGGCTGGGTGCAGGAGCAGTTTAACACAAGGCAGTAACATATGACTGAAAGAGCGCTGAATCTATACTGAAAAGTACCTGCTGCTGGAATCCCATCCAACGTGTATGCACTTTGCTTGATTGCGGTTTGTCTGCTTCCATTGCTAGATCCGCAGAATGTCTGGAACACCCCTCGCTTCAGCGTTAGAAAGAGCGAAGGCCGGGACGCCCAGCTCCCGTGTCTCATCACTGACCCCGAGTATGGGGCCAATGTTACCCTGCTGAAGGACAATTCTCCAGTCCCACCAGGGGCTAAGTTTTCTTTCAGCGCTCAGGATGGCATAACCATCTACAATGTGCAGCAAGCCGATAAAGGATCTTACAGCTGCCAGGCCCTGATCAACGGGAAAGTGGAGAAGTCAAAGACAATCAGGCTGATTGTTCTAACAGGTAACAGGTTTCTGGTACCTCTTGCGGCAGTTCCTGCTGGGGAGGCAGCTGTGGTTAGCGCTGCTGGGAGCACCTGCGGGGGCGCTAGTTTGGGGAGAGGTCATAGAAGTTAGAGAGGCAAAAGACCAACTGGACTATAGAGGCTGGAATTTTCCAAGGTGCCAAAGGGAGTTAGGTGAACAGTTCCCACTGAAATTCCATGGATTACCTAATCCCCATAGATGTCTTTAAAAACCAGATCTCAAGTCCATCCCTCTACCAGTGGCGGATCATTCCTGACAATGTATTATAAGAACACAAGAACAGCCATACTGGATCAGACCAAAGGTCCATCTAGCCCAGTGTCCTCTCTGCCGACAGTGGCCAATACCAGATGCCCCAGAGGGAGGGATCACAATAGGTAATGATCACGTGATCCCTGCCCTGTCACCCACCTCCAGAGAAACAGAGTCTAGGAATACCATTCCTATTTATCCTGGCTAATAGCCACTGATGAACCTAACCTCCATGAATTTACCTAGCTCTTTTTTGAACCATGTTAACGTTCTAGCCTTTACCGCATCCTCTGGCAAGGAGTTCCACAGGTTGACTGTGCGCTGAGTGAAGAAAAATTTCCTTTTGTTTGTTTTACATTCTCAGGGCTTTTTCCAGCCTAGTTTTAAACACTCCCTTTGAGAGGGCCTCTGCCCCCTTCTCTTATTGCACAGTCTCACAGAAACCCTTTTGCTCTGCTTCACACCGTGAAGGGAAATCAGCTCTTCCTTCTGGATCGCTGCAAACCCTGAGGCCGCAGTGTAATGTGCCTGGCAGACGGGAAAACATGCAGCTGGGATGAAGATTCCCATCCCTTTAAGCCTTTTAAGCCACCTAGTGGTGATGAAAGTGGTAGCGCGGGAAGGAGGGGTAGCGATGATGATAACGGTGGTGACGATGATGGCGAAGGGATCTAAATGGATGGTGACAAGAGATAAGCAGAAATGTCCTTGGGGTTGCTAAGGCTTCAGAGGCCTTTAAGCGCTCCTGTGACTAACCCTTGCCCGTCTCTACCTTTGTTCAGCTACAACAAAGCCAGTCTCCGTCACAGTGGAGCAAAAGGACCATGTGCGAATAGAGGGAGAAAGTTTCGAGATCACCTGCAAAATAACCGCTCCTTCCCATAAGTTTCATGAAGAGTGGGCCCATCCAGCTAAGAATGTAAGCTGTTTTCCTATGTCCCTGGGGGGAGGAGGGGGGAATGTGATCTCTTTGGAAAAAGGGGAGGACAAGGATAGGAAGAGTAATTCCTGACTCACAGAATCTTCCATGTGGTAGCAGCTGACTGGAGCACGGTACTGAAGCGCATGATTAGACACCACATTGTACATAAACCTTGCAGACCTAAGCACAGCCATCCTTCCCCTCTCCCCTTTGTCACGGCAAGTTTACAAAGGGTTAAGACACATTCACATTCTTGGTGCCTCACTGTACTAGAGAATGAAACGGGTTTTCTTTTCTCTATGTTTGCTGAACAGGAACCTCAGTGCCTTCAAAATGAAATGTAAACCCCCTTCTCCCAGACAGCCTTTCCCCAGTAAACCCCTCAACATCCTATGTTATAAAACAACAAGCACCTGAAGGCCTTGTCTGTATTTACCCAGAGATCGATGGCTCTGGAGATCGATCTTACGGGGGTTCAATTTAGCAGGTCTAGTAAGGACCCACTAAGTCAGTGGTCCCCAACGTGGTGCCCGCCGGGCCATTTCTGTGTGCCTGCCGAGTGATCAGGGCTGGCCCCGCCCTCAGGCATGTGGGTGGTGCCGTCCCCTGGGTGCGCAGCGTATGAGCGGCCCC